CATTAAAATTGAAGCTGTAGCTATAAAATGCTTCATATGATTTTTTTAAAAAACGTATTAGGCACTTATTTTTCAACTAAAAAAAAAAATTTAAAACTACAATCAACTACAAACGATTCTGGACTAGAATTCATTAAAATTTAGTCGGTAGCTGTAAAGGGTCATATGAATTAAAACAAAACGCATTAAGCACTTATTTTTCAACTAAAAAAAAAAATTAAAGCTACAATCAACTACAAACGATTCTGGACCTGAATTCATTCAAATTGAAGCTGTAGCTGTAAAATGCTTCATATGAATTTTTTAAAAAACGCATTACGAACTTATTTTTCAACTAAAAAAAAAAATGTTTAACTACAAACTACTACAAACGATTCTGGACCTGAATTCATTAAAATTAAAGCTGTAGCTGTAAAAAGCTTCATATGAATTTTTTTTAAACGCATTACGCACTTATTTTTCAACTACAAACAAAATGAAACTTACTACAATCCTCCAGAGAGTTAAATCTATCATATTCTAGGTATTTTATCAAAATACATCAAGGTCGGGTGCCAACTTCACGTAGCTGGTAAATAGCGCTACTGACTTGTCTGTATCGTTGGCGTAGCTCATTTTTGATAGAAAATTCTCGTTTATACGAAGTACAATATTTCTATTGTGTAAATTCGAGTCGTGGTTCATTACGATTAAGTACAAATAAAGTTTCGGTATTTCGATATTTGTGAAGAAGTGCAAAGAATAAATAGATCCTGGAAATCTGTATCAATAATGGTAAGTTTTTTTTTAATTTTCTTTACAAAATTTATCTTTGTTACCTACAGTAACAATAAAGACACGATATTTTTACCAGCTACGGCTATTTTTCCATTGTTTGTTTACTTTCTGTTATTTTCTTTTAATAAAAAACAGCTTATTATCTAACAAAAACAATATAAGTCCAAATTTCAAACTTTGTAGAAAAATTATAGAAATTCAACAAAATTAGGGCATTTTCTTCCATACAAAGTGTGTCCGAAATTTTTTTGTATGGAATAAAATAATAACACTATTCGCAAAAAAGATTATCAAATATTAACGCGAATTTTTAGCTACTTGAAACTTGCACTTTCTTAAGCTAGAATTTAATGCGCCAAAAAACTGCATAATTAGGATTTTTCTAGAAACTCTTAATAAAAAGTTTGTTGTAAAAATTGTTTCCTGAATTTTTCTAATATTTCTACAAAGTTTGAAATTTGGACTTACATATATTGTTTTTGTTAGAAAATGAGCTTTTTTTTAATAAAAAAAATAATAAACAGTAAAAAAAACAATGGAAAAAAGCCGAAACTGTTCAAAATATCGTGGCCCTATTTTTTACATGACTGTATGAGTGTACATATGTACATATGTTCTTTGAAAAGGAATAGACTTTTATGGATTTGGGATCTTATTGTGCATCTCTTATTTTATAAAATCGTTTGTTTAAAGTTAATATTAAATATATGTTCAAATTCAGATTGGCATCAGCTTCTTAGAACGCTTTCATCAGCTTGCTTAGAAAAAGACGGTATCAATTTTGAAGGAGAGTATAAAGTGTGGTTGGAACGATGGACAAATAAGGAAAGCGAAAAGCCATTCCCAAAATCAGCAGCAAAAGTTCTTGGTAAATATGCTTCGATGAATATGCTTTCCATTGATTAACAAACTTCTCCGCATTCTGGTCAGACTTACAGCTAGTAACGCTACTTTCGAAAGAAGTTTTACAATCCTTCGCCGGTTAAAAACATGGTTGCGTAGTGCCATGAATGAGGAAAGACTGATAGGTCTAGAAATTTTACACGTACACTTAGATATTGAAATTGACACTGAAAGGATAATAGAAAGATTCGCAAAAGGAAAGCGCAAAAATTAATTTGCAATTTAAATTATTACAATAAAAATTCTGAATAAGTGGTTAAGTTACTTAATTACTGACATCCTTCATTTTACCAACATTGTAAGAAAGAAATAAGTATTTATATGTATATATTGCATTAATAAACTCAAGGTATAACATTACAGCTTGTTTTTTTCAAATAGTACATGCAATTGTTTTATTAGACCTTGCACCAAATTCACAAAATGAAAAGTTATATTATATTACAGAACACTTTACTTCACACTTCATAAAAAATACTCGAACCTATAGTTGCACGAAAAATAAATTAGGGTTAGATGCCTGTAATTTAACATTATTTGAAAAGTTGATCCCAATCGGCTAAGGTTCTTATCTTCTTCTTCTTCTTCTTTTTTTGGCGCTGTAACCGCCTAAACGATTTTGGCCGAGTTCAGCAAAGCACGCCAGTCATTTCTCCTCTGTGCCAACTGACGCCAATTGGAAACGCCAAGTGAATCCAAGTCCTTCTCCACCTGATCTTTCCATCGCAGTGGGGGCCTCCGTCTTCCTCTGCTACCACCAGCGGGTTCCGAGTTGAATACTATCAGAGCTAGAGCGTCGGTGTCCATTCGAACGACATGGCCAAGCCAACGGAGCCGCTGGATTTTAATTCGCTGTACTATGTCCATGTCGTTGTAAAGATCGTACTGCTCATCGTTCCATCGTCTGCGGTAGTCGCCGTCGCCAACGCGTAAAGGCCCGTAAATCTTCCGCAAAATCTTTCTCTCAAACACTCCAAGAGCCGCCTCATCGGATGTTGTCATTGTCCATGCTTCTGCGCCATATAGCAGCACGGGCATGATGAGTGACTTATAGAGCGCGGTTTTCGTACGTCGAGAGGGGATTTTACTCCTGAATTGCCTACTCACCGATGATGTTACCGATGATGTCGATGTCATCGGCATAAGCCAGCAATTGCACGCTCTTTTAGTATATTGTTCCTGAGCGGTTCAGTTCTGCAGCTCGTATTACTTTCTCCAACATCAGATTAAAGAAGTCACATGAAAGGGAGTCGCCCTGTCTGAAACCCCGTTTTGCGGCGAACGGCTCGGAGAGGTCTTTCCCAATTTTGACGGAGCTGGTGGTATTGCTCAACGTCTTTTTACACAGCCGTACGAGTTTTGAGGGAATGCCAAATTCAGACATAGCGGCGTATAGGCAACTCTTTTTAGTGCTGTTAAAAGCGGCTTTAAAGTCGACAAATAGGTGGTGAGTGTCGATGCTTTTCTCGCGGGTCTTTTCCAAGATTTGGCGTATTGTGAATACCAGGTCTATGGTGGATTTGCCAGATCTAAAGCCATACTGATAAGGCCCAATCAGTTCATTTACGGTGGGCTTCAGTCTTTCACACAATACGCTCGATAAGACCTTGTAACCTATGCCTAGTAGTTGGCGCGAATGGCGGGGTCACCTTTCTTGTGGATTGGGCAGAGCACACTTAAATTCCAGTCGTCGGGCGTGCGTTCATCTGAGTGTTGATGCATGCAAGAGCTCAGCTGGCAGGCTGTCAGCTCCAGCAGCTTTGTTGTTTTTCAGCCGCGTTATTGCTATACGTACCTCGTCATAGTCAGGCGGTGGAACTTCGACTCCGTCATCATCGACTGCGGGCTCGGGTTCTTCTTCTCCATACCTTTCCGTGCTGCTACCATTTAGTAGGGCGGAAAAGTGTTCCCTCCATAATTTAAGTACGCTCTGGACATCAGTTACTAGGTCGCCATTATTGTTCTTACAGGAGTACGCCCGGTCTTGAAACCTTCCGTAAGTGGCCTAACTCTCTGGTAAAATTTTCAGTCATTTTTTTTGTTGGCCAGCATTTCAAGCTCTTCGGACTCACGTATTTCGGCCTCTCACTTCTTATTGCGGCAAATACGTCTCGCTTCCCTCTTCAGGTCCGAGTCGATGTTTGGGCCTCGGAGTGGGCGTACGTCTAAAACACTGGAAGCGTGCCTTCCTTCTATCACAACATGATCGATTTGGTTTCTAGTCTTTCGATCCGGAGACAGCCACGTAGCTTTATGGATCTTTTTATGCTTGCTCTTTGATTCGGATTATGGCTAGAGGCTCGTCCACCGGTGTGAACGACAGTACTCGACGACGGAGTCTCTCTCCCACCACAAATCCAACTCCAAATTTGCGCTCCTTTAGATGGCAGCTGTAGTAGACGTCGCAAGGCTTGCCTTGCCCCGCCCAATGCATTTCTTAAATGGCGGTGATGTCAGCTTTTGTCCTTACGAGGACATCAACCAGCCGGGCAGAGGCACCTTCCCCATTAAGGGTCTGGACATTCCAGGTGCATGCCCTCAAATCGCAGTCCTTTAAACGATTTCCGTGGTCGTCATCATAAGGAGGGGCGGTGGGTGGGTCTCATCCGCGGGTTTGCCTTGCTTCTTCACTGGAAGTGGTTTTTACGTGGCGGGTCCCAAACCCAGCGCACAACCCATTGCTGGGTTACAACCAAATACTCGTTTACATAGCGAGCCGCTTGCTCCAAGCGGACACCCGCTTGCAGCCGCACCTACTGGTGAACAGACGCTGCAGACTTCAGTGAGCCCTTAAACTGAATAAGTGGGAGTGGCCCCACCAAAGCTCCCTCTCTTTCTGCCGTGACCCAATGCTCCACTCGGTTTGGTTACTGCATCTCGCACATGGGTTGCTCACGTTGCCCAGAGTTCGCGAACGAGGACGCAAGAGTCGGGATTGAGTATAGCCCATTGCAAGGTTCTTATGCTCTTTTTAAAATAAATATTTCCGTTATTTGAAATTTGTTTTAAATTAGTTACAATGTGTTCTATGATATTATTAACTGGGATTTTGTTTGATGAATGGCTTTATGTGCATCGTTTTTTAATACTTACTTGCAGTTTGATTTACATACTTCCATTCTTCAACAGGGTGATCGATCGACGTGGGAGTATCACACGGTTTCTGTAACACGTGTTCCGGGATATGGATTTGGTATAGCCGTTTCAGGCGGGCGCGATAACCCACATTTCGCAAATGGAGACCCCTCAATTGCTGTAAGCGACGTTTTAAAGGGTGGCCCAGCCGAGGATCGTTTACAGTGAGTAGCAAAATGTAGCTAATATTTTGTATTTTATAAATCGTTAAAGACCATTTATGTACAATAATTTACATAAATATGTACATACATATATCGCACGTTTAATGATATAAAGATGTAATGGTAAGCAGTGCGCGCTTTCACTCCGCAACGCCTGGGTTCAAGCCCTGGTCGAAGCAAAATCGCAAAAAATATAGAAAAAAGGTTTTTTCTTAACAGCGGTCGTCCCTCGGCAGGCAATGGCAAACCTCCGAGTGTACTTCTGCCATGAAAAACAGCTTATCATAAAAATACAATCGCCGTTCGGAGTCGGCGTAAATCTGTAGGTCCCTCCACTTTGTGACGTCGCAGCTTTCTTTTTTTTCGTTTTGAATTTTTTTTGATCGGAAAACCCTTTACACAAAAGGTATAACAAAGGCATTTTTACAAAATTGAAATCGGTTCACCGGTTTGTTCAGGTATCGCCGTCATACGAAAGACATTTAATTTTTATATATGTAGACTAGCAGACCCGGCGAACTTCGTCCCGCCCAAAATAAATTTTTTGTACACGGTCAAAAATTTGGGATTAATTTTTATGCCGCGCTGGGACTTCTGCCTTTTTTAATCTTTTATAGTCTACTTTTTAAACCTGTCAATAGTTTTAAGCAATTTTTAATATACTGTGGTTCAAATTTTAGTCCAAAAAGTTCGTGGTTTAAAAATCAAACCAAAATGTTTTAATTCTAGTTTCTAGGTTTCATATATAGAAAATTTGGTTTAAAATCTAAACCGAAATAGAAAATGTTTGCACACAGCGAAATGCGGTGTTGATTCAAACTCAACATATGAAAGCACATTTACATGCGTGGCTGTAGCTGAGTGTGCAAAGCTGCTTGATACAATTGGTTGCTACTAAGGCTGTCCTGGTTCAATCCCCATCAGACGGAGCACGAAATTTTATTTTTATTTTTTATTCTTAATTATGAAAATGTTTGCGTTTAAAATTTAAACCGAACTGTTTAAATTCTAAACCCAACATACATATGTGCCCTCTTTTTTTTTTAATTTATAAGGTTTGTATTTGAAACTGAATTTATGTAGTTTGGTCATATATGTAGTCCAAAAAGTTTAAAATTAAAACCGAAATTGTTAACCGTGTATTGAAACACTTTGGTCCAACATTTTCACCAAGAGTTCACGTTCATGATTTTTAGTGACGCATTTGTCTTTTAATATTACGGTTTGGTGGTTGTCAGAAGGCATATTTGCCGTCTTAAATAACTTAGCAAAACTGTACATGCATACAAAGATACGTAATAGTTTCAGTGCGTTTGAAAGGCGCCACGTCCCCTTTTCAAATAACTCCAATTTTCTCTAAGAGCATGGGATTGATTTCATATATCTCTATACCATTTTCTAGTAATTTACCATGGCAGGTCCCTTTTTCCAATAGCCCCAACTTTTCTTCATGACCAGTCGCGTTTTATATATCTTGTACATACCAAGTTCCAGTACTCTTCCATGAAAACATTCAGAGATATGCAGTATGAAAAATTCGATGTGTATGGGAAGTGCCACGCCTCCTTTTCCGATAATCACAATTTATCTCCATGAGTATGCGATTGCTTTCATTTATCTTATCATTACCAAGTTCGAGACCTCTTCCATGAACATTTTGCGGGATATGCAGTATGAAAAATTCGGTTCGTATGGGAGGCGCCACTTAACTTTTTCCAATAACCGCAATTTTTATCCATGAATATGCAAATGTTTTCATATATCTCCATGCCATATTCGAGTAGTCTACCATGAACACTTCCAGAGATGTGCAATATGAAAAATTCGGTTTGTATGGGAAGTGCCACGCCCCCTGAAACCTAGCGGTATGAAATATACTTTACATCCGATTTTCATACCTACCATATATAACACAAAAAATTTCATAAAGATCGGTCGAGCCGTTTACGAAGAGCTCGATTTTTATATGTATATTAGATAAGCACGATGCGAGAAGCATAGAAAAAATTTCTCGGGTTCACAACTATCCTATCTTTTAAGTTGGAACCAACAATACAAACCCACAAAATTTCATTGAAATCGGTTAAGCGGTTTCGGAGATTAGCGTAAACGAACACAGTGACACGGGATATTTATATATTAAGACCCTAATATAAGCACCTACCATAGATACGTTTGCGTACCAAATTTCAATTTCATTTGACTTATGGTTTTGAAATTATAGCTGGTAAAATATTCCACGCCTATGGGATGTGCCACGCCCCCTTTTACAAACATATTTATATATAAGCACCTACCATTGATATATCTGCATACTAAATTTCAAGTTCGTGGGACGTATAGTTCCGAAGTTATAGCTGATAAAAAATTCCATGCCTATTGGATGTGCCATGCACTCTTTTCCAAACTTATTTATATATACCCTAATATAAGTACCTACCATTAAAATGGCTGCGTACGAAATTTAAGTTCAAGCGACTTATAGCCCCGGAGTTATAGCTGATAAAACATTCCAGGTCATGGGATGTAACGGTTCCGCCTTTCAAAAGCTCACTTATATATAGCCTTACTTTAAGAACCTACTAAAGATACGTCTGCGTACCAAATTTCAATTTCACGTGACATATGATTCCGAATTTTGCACGCCTATGGGATGTTCCACTCAGTTATATATGCCTTACTTAGAGCGCCTACCGTAGATATGCCTGCACACCAAATTTCAAGTTCTTGGGCCTTATGGTTCCCAAGTTATAGTTGATAAAAGGGTCCACGCCTATGGAAAGTGCCACGCCCCTTTTTACAAACTCATGTATATATAGCCTACTGTAAGCACCTACCGCAGATATGTCTGCATACCAAATTTCAATTTCATGTGACTGATGGTTGTGAAATTATAGCTGATAAAAATTTCCACGCCTATGGGATGTGCCACGCCCCCTTTTACAAATCCCTTTATATATACTTTACTGTAAGCAGCTACCATAGTTATGTCTGCATACCAAATTTCAAGTTCATGTGGCTTATAGTTCTGGAGTTATAGCTGATAAAATATTCCTATGGGATATGCCACGCCCACTTTTACAACCTCGTTCATATATACCCTACTATAAGCACCTACCATATGTATGACTGAATAACAAATTTCAAGTTCATATGACTTATAGTTTCGGATTTATAGCTGATAAAATATTCCACGCCCATTGGATGTGCCACGCCCACTTCTACAAACTCATTTATTTATACCATACTATAAGCACCTACCATATATATGACAGTATACCAAATTTCAAGTTCATGCGACTTATGGTTCCAAAGTTATGATTGATAACAAATTTTACGCCTATGAGATGTGCCACGCCCACTTTTACAAAGTCATTTATATATACTCTACGGTAAACACCTACCATATATATGACTCCATACCAAATTTCAAGTTCATGTGACTTATAGTTTCGAAGTTATGGCTGATTAAAAATTTCACGCCTATGGGAGGTGTCACGCCCCCTTGTCGAATCCCAATTTTGTTACCCTATTATAGGTCCAGGTGTCATGGCAATACTCTGTCAAAATTTTGTTCGATTCTGTCCGTCCGTTTAGGCTGCAACGTGGCACATACATACATACATACATACTTCCACAAATATATAGTAGATATATCCTTCTCTTAGCGTAAAATAATTTTTGGGGATGTCTCGGCCACAGGGCCACCTATCGTATAAGTTTCAAGTCCAAATATTTCTTTTAAATTGGCTAAATTGTTTTCTAAATATGAGCCAAATCAGCAAGTAAAAGCAATTTTTATGAATATCCCCACCCCAGCGCCACCTAGCGATTAAATTTTTAGTCGAAATATTTCCCTTCAAGGTGCTGAAATATGTTCCAAATATGAACGAGATCGGTCCAGCCGTTTGGTAGTTTAGTGACATTCAATATACGGAAAACTCTATGAAATTGTGAAATCATGACGTCTCAGCTTTCTTCATTTTTCGGCAACAACAACAAAAAATGTAAAAAATTTTTAAATCAAAGAATCTTCCACACAGAAGGTCCAAAAATGTGCTTTTTACAGAATTGGAATCGGGCCAAGCGTTTGGTGAGTCATCGCCGTCATACGGAAAACATTTCATTTTTATATATATAGACTAGCCAATGCCAGCTTGCTTCGCGGCGCCTAATAACTTTTGCGTGGGTCAATCCAAAAAATAGCCTTTAAAAGGAAAAACGGTCTGTAATGTAAAAAAGTTGAAATGACTACAGAGCAGAATCCTTCTCACACATGGGCCAACAATAGTAGCGCTGTGATGCTATATGGAATACTAATCGCTTTCGATCTTATGAGCATTACCGATGTCCTTATTTCCAACTGTGTAATCTCTGCCAAGCGTGCAAAATCTTCTATGATCTTGCAACTACAACATTGGCCCGATGCGTAAGCCAATTAAAATGCTTATAAGGAAACTGAAGAGGACAGATGAGCGTTTTCTGTTATAAGAGTGCCAAGAATCCTCTCTGCCCTACAGGATGAAAAGTTTTCCCGTATATTGGCTAAATGAGTCGTTTGACCTCATGAATATCGTTCAAATGAAGTCATTGATATACCAACCGTGTTCCTTTTACAATTCGTCTTAATATTTATGAATTGGTTTTTTGAGTCTTACCGCCGCAATGACGGCCGCCCGAGCAATTTCGTTTATCAGAAGTAAATAAAAGATCGCATCAATGGTGTATGAGGGCGTCAGACAAAGGTGCGCTTACACAATTTCATTTAGCCAACTGAAAAGTAAATTCGTTTAAAATAAACATAGGACCAAACACAAAATTGTGCAAAATTTAGTAAAAACTCTTCAAAATTCTTACAAAATTGTTACCCTCTCCCAAAAATAAAAAAAGAAGCAATCGCTCAATGCGATTTAGAAATCTAGGAGAAAATAGTTCCTAGTAGAATGATGATTGCCTATCTGTGTATATGTATATAGATGCAACCATTCTAATAACTACCACTTT